AATTAAATAGCTGAAAAAATTAGGATTTAGTTTGACTTTATTTCTTAACAAATTAAGATTACATTTTGCTAGATGAACCAGTAAAAATAAAATAAAAAAAATTGCGAGAACCTTTCCAATGACCTGAATATGAAAGCGTTTTGGTGACCTGCCGACCACGTTTCTTTCTTGAGTGATTTAGGACCCAAAAGATGTCAGGGTGGTTTTTGGGTCTGCCCAGGCATTAATTGTGGACTCAACAAACTTCAGCTACTGTTCACACCCAATATTGAAGAGCCCTTTGTTTTTGGGCCCTTTGGTGAGTTAGCACATTTACTGTTGTGGCAGCTTTTTTCGATAAGAGATGTGCATTTTGTCAAAATTTTGATTTTGGGACCAGCAAAGAGAGTTTGTAATCGGGTAGCAATTCTGGCTGAAAATTCTTTGAAACTAACAGAAGTTGTAAATGATGCGTATGGTACCTACTGTAGTCTGATTTTTCAAGAGCTTGTTCAAGTCAGTACGTACACTTCCATAACCTTACTTGAAATACATTCTGCATATGAATTCAACGTTATGTTAACATAGGAAATTAGCTATTGTAAAAAATTAAAGCCGTTAAATGTATTTAAAGAAGGATTTAATGTTTTTAAAGTGAATGTAGATAAGTTATCTACATTCGCTCCTAAAACGACGTCGTTTTGGGTTGAAAAATTAAAAATTATAATGAAAAAGACTATTATAACCCTTAAATAAATTATAATTACAATAATACCTTGATTTTCGTCTCAAAACGACGTCGTTTTGAGCTCACTGTAAATAGGTTATCTACATTGACCGTAGAAAAAGTGAACCTTAAAAGAATTCTATTTATTTTTATGAAATTTTTCATGCAAAAACTTTGAATTTGAATTTTTGGACAAAACTCTAATACACTGTATAACAATTTGGTCAGAGATATTTTAATATTATCATATTAAAAATCAATTAGCATCACCTACTTGTTAAAATAAATGTCTTTTATTTTTATTTTTATTAATAATTACAAATATTACTTTATTTTTTACAAATAGAGAGATATGAAATTCCAACAAATAAGAATAATCTTTCATCAATTATTAATTTAATCAAGTCGGATAGAATTTTGTAGGTGACAACGCTTTCTATACTAAGTTTTTAATATAGTTGCGTATCTAGGAATTGTAACGTCCGGCCGCTTCAAGAATTAATGACTATTCTCACATACTAACACGAGACTTTTCAGTGTGCTTTTTCCTCATTCGCACACTTCTCGGGAAAACTTCCCAGGAGGTCACCCATCCCAGAATTGCTCCAAGTCAAGCACGCTTAACTGTGGAGTTCTTCCGATCCGGGCTACCGAAAAGCAGATGTGTAACATCCCGAGCGGGGGCGGGGAGTGATCGTCGGTGCAAAGAGGCACGGACAAGGAGCAGCTCCTGACAGGCTTCCAGCGGGGGTTACATGCATGAATGAATCAAATCGACACCCGAAAGAGAGGGATCCAAAGATTGTGCATGTATGAGACTGCACAGTTTGAGATAGCTTATAAGAATTAATTGGTACTACCTATACTAACAAGATGCATCTGCTTTTCGGTAGTCCGGATCGGAAGAACTCCACAGTTAAGCGTGCTTGACTTGGATAAATTCTGGGATGGGTGACCTCCTGGAAAGTTTTTCCGGGAGTGTGTGAGTGAGAAAAAAGCACACTGAAAAGTCTCGTGTTAGTATGTGGGGATAGTCATTGATTCTTGAAGCGGCCGGACGTTACAAGTGGTATCAGAGCAGGGCCTCTCATCCAGTACGGTGTGGTTCGAGGACGAACCAGGCGGAAGCTGGTGGGCATGTAACATCCCTAGCGTTGACGAGGGCGGGGAGTGATCGCCGGTGCAAAGAGGCACGAACAAGGAGCGGCTCTTGACAAGCTTCCAGCGGGGGATTACATGCATGAATGAATCGAATCGACACCCGAAAGAGAGGGATCCAAAGACTGTGCAGGTATGAAACTGCACAGTTTGAGATAGCTTATAAGAATTAATTGGTACTACCTATACTAACAAGATGCATCTTGTAACATCTCGAGCGCTGACGAGGGCGGGGAGTAATCGCCGGTGCAAAGAGGCACGGACAAGGAGCGGCTCCTGACAGGCTTCCAACGGGGGTTATATGCATGAATGAATCGAATCGACACCCGAAAGAGAGGGATCCAAAGACTGTGCAGGTATGAGACTGCACAGTTTGGGATAGCTTATAAGAATTAATTGGTATTACCTATACTAACAAGATGCATCTGCTTTTCGGTAGTCGGATCGGAAGAACTTCATAGTTAGCGTGCTTGACTTGGAGCAATTCTGGGATGAGTGACCTCTTGGGAAATTTTCTCGGGAAATGTGCGAGTGAGGAAAAAGCACACTGAAAAGTCTCGTGTTAGTATGTGGGCATAGTCGTTGATTCTTGAAGCGGCCGGGCGTTACAGAAATCAAATTTGAAATTACTGAGAATAATTTCGAACCAATTAATCCATGTTCTTAATGATAATGTGATTTTTTTAATTATAAATAAAACAAGCTTGAACCAATCATACCGCTAACGAATAAGGTAAATCCTCTTTTGTCTAACATTCGAACTTCAAACATGCGAAGCTTCCAAGGCTCTGTGAAATGTAAGTGTTACTTTTAATTTTTTAGTTTATATACCCTCCACATATAAAGTATAAGTTAATAACGGGTTAATTTTTTTAGATTTTTTTTTCCCCCGGAACTAGCGCGAGATTATCCGTATCCCGTTTCGAAATAACGGGAAAATTGTCTTGCCCCATCAATTACTATTTTCGTCTTTATTACTTCTACCAAACACAACAAACAATGGGTGATTTCTTTCGACATAATAATGTGTGGTGGATCTGGATCCTCTCATGTGAAAATTCACATGATCGTGTCATGTAGGGAATCATAATCATACAAAGGTGGATAAATGGTAATAAAAAAAAAAAGAAAAAAAAAATTAAAATAGATTGTTACGAAATTATAACCGTTGATTTACCTTTGTATGATTGTGATCTTTTCACATAACCATATCATATTTTCTTTTTCACATGAGAGGATTCATTTCTTACGTGGGATCCTTGATGTTCCGATATATTCGAATGAGATGTTTAAAAGTTCAAAATTTATCATATCTAATATATAAATTAATTAAGTTAATCTCATTTGTTTAAATTAAATATCTATAATTATAATTTTTTATTTAATAAATAAATTTTAAATACATAAACTAATAATTTTAAGAAAAGTGTATAATTAAAATATTTAATCAATTCTAACATATTTATAATCTTATAAAGTACAGTAAGACTCATTTAAAATTCATTTTTCTAATAAGACTCATTTACAATAAGACTCAATTTTATTTTTTTCTAATAATAATTGGATACACCTTTTGACTTTATATATTTGTTAATAAACTTTTTTCCCTGAAAACTAACTACTTTTCAAAGGTTAATTCATTTATTACCAACTACATGCATTAATTGTCACGGAGTTATTTCAACTTGATGAGTAGTTTCGAGTTCCAGTTATTAGTACATAACTGTGTTGAAAACTTGGTAGGATAAGTTTTACTGTCCTTGTGATTATGCCTAGCTCGAATCGGATTAGATGGATAATGAATGAATCAGTGGAAAAATTCAAACATTATTGAAATTAGTATCATCTAATTAGATGGCAAAACATTTTTGAGAGTCAGGCACAATTAATTTATTATAGGCTCGTTTAGGATAAAGATGAATATGATAAAAAGGTTTGATAAGAGCAGGAAAAAATAAGGGATTCAAAAGCTCATATTATATCCATTGTTTTATGTTCACTAGATAAGTAGTCTAATGTGATTTATCATATCTTATGTTTGAAGGGAACTAAATGGAGATAGGATATAATATCACTAGATAAAAACATTGTTTATAGTATGACTTCATATATTTTTTAAAATTTATTTCAGGGTTATTATAGTCTTTATAATTATAATTTTCTAATCTTTCTATTCCAAAACGACGTCGTTTTGTAAGTAAATGCAGATAACTTATCTGTATTAACTACAGAAATATTTTTCTGATTTAGTAAACAATTAATTTCGTATCCTATCATATTGAATCATAATATTTTTTTCTATTTATGTTAACATTTGAACTGAACTAAAATGTTTTTTAATTTATTAAAAAAAAGTGATGTACTTGATTGCTGTTCTTTTTTAAAAATATTAGAAAAATAAAAATAAGAAAATAAAATAAAAATTTAAAAATATGAAAACTATACAGAAATTTATTTATTTTTAATAAATCTTTCTAGTCGTTACAAATAATATATCATAATTGATGGGTACGTAGCAAAAAACTTCTCGTTGGTAAGCAGGCGCACGTTGACGTAAAAAAATAAATTAAAAAGATTTAGGATGGAGGGCAACGAGTTAAGTGCATCAAGCATCATTGTACATGCTTAAAGTTAGAAATAATCACAAATCCAAAGTTTCATGTAAAAAGGCATGCTAATACAATCTTGCCTTCATGTAATTGATACATTAAATGAAGGCGGCGTGATGCGAAGCATCAGTGCATCACTTGCGCATGTGAAAAATGCTGGAAATAATCAAAAATTAAATTTCATAATAATCCATTAGTCAATAGTGTTTATAAACTGAAATTGAACACATAACCTAATACAAACAAGTCAAACGCCTTGTCACTAAACCAACTGCTGTGACTTCCTTTATAAACTTCTATTGATCTCCATTTACATTATTCCCTTAAAAAGTGTGCTCAAGTGGCACATATTCTCTCTATGTTTTAGCATTGCATTCGTTAACATTTACTATAGTACAAACAAGACATTTTATATAGTAAGTATAAGCTATATTCTTCTACCATCCTAGTGCATACTCTCTCTCTCTCTCACTTTCAGCTGCATAGGCCAAACACACTTATACACAGGTACACTCGCAAAACTCACTATGAACCCTCTTGTGCAACCTCATGCTAGTGATAGTGAAGCAAATAATAGCTCTAAAATTCTGCCAACCATTGAATTTGAGACCACATTTGGGGTGGAAGACATCAAATCAATAGAAACTGGTAAAGTTGGTCAGGCAGATCAAGAGGAGGGTGCTTTCTTAACATGGGAGGACTTGTGGGTGACTGTTTCAAATGGAAAGAATGGAAGGAAACCAATACTTCAGGGTCTAAATGGCTATGCAAAACCTGGAAAACTCTTGGCTATAATGGGTCCTTCTGGTTGTGGCAAGTCCACACTTCTTGATGCTTTAGCAGGTAATCATGTTTAGATCACGCTGAAATATATAGTCCCACGTTGGTTGTATGGGCAATTAATATGATCTTTATAAGGCTTTGGGCACTCTCACCCTTTGAGCTAGCTTTTTGAGTGGTGTATCCAAGATTCTTTACATAGTATCAGAGCCTCAGTGTACGGGTTTGATCCTCACCGCCCCCACACTCGTGTGAGGGAGCGTGTTGAGATATATAAAATCATTAATTTAGCCTCACCCATGTAAAGAATTAATTCAACCCAAAAGCTTAAGCTATTGGGTGAGATTAAATTAATGGTTTTATATATCTCAACACGCCTCCTCACACGAGAGCCAAGTGGACTTGAAGAATGGACAATGCACAGGCCCACCTACCTCTGCGAACAAAGAAATTCCACTTGAAAGAAAGTGGGGCGGCGGGGAGGATCGAACCCGGGACACGAAGCTCTGATACTATGTAAAGAACCAATTCAATCCAAAAGCTTAAACTATTGGATAAGGCTAAATTAATGATTAATGATTTTATATATCTAAATGATATCGCTTTTGAACCTGTAACTTTCATAGTTTAAGACCAAAATATATGACACTTTGACATCATCACATGCATTTGACTTCACGGGTCTAATAATAAAATGAGAATATCCCATTAATGGGCCTCAAATGGTTGAAATTCTTGGATCAATTTATTATAATTGTCAACTACTAATGTCACTTAAAAGCATGTTTTACACGAGCATACTAATTTTCTTGCCTATATGATGGCCTTCAAAATCCCACATTCTTTTTCATTTGTGTAAGTTCTTTTAAATAATGCAATTAGTTATAGGGGTCTCCTCCTATTTCCAAAGATTTTTTTGGGGGCCAAATTAAATTTAGAATGTTGCACAGAAGGGAGTCCATGCTTAACAATAATTGCACTAGTACATCTTTTGAACAACTCTAGTCTAAGAAAAATTCAAAGGGGAAGAAGAAATTTTTTGATACTTTTCCAGGGCTACTAGCAGGATAGTAATCAACTTCAGAAACAACTTAATATCATATACTTCATATGAAATTGCAGGAAGATTAGGTTCAAAGAGAAATCAAACAGGGAAGATCCTAATCAATGGCCGCAAACAAGCACTAGCATATGGAACATCTGTAAGAATATTTGATAAAGCTTTTGAACAACCCTTCCCCCTTTTCTCCCAATACACACACAAAATAAGAAACATCTTTTTTTTTTATTGGCCAATGAGGATTCATTTTCTTATACAAACATGGAGTCTGTTAATCTCTATTCTTCTTCTCACCTATGAAACCAGGCATATGTAACAGAAGATGATACTATTTTGACAACTCTAACAGTTGGAGAAGCTATAAACTACTCAGCTCACCTCCAATTGCCAGATTCCATGTCAAAGTCAGAGAAAAAGGAGAGAGCAGATTTCACAATCAGAGAAATGGGTCTGCAAGATGCCATTAACACCAGAATTGGAGGGCGGGGATCTAAAGGCCTTAGTGGTGGGCAAAAGAGGAGAGTTAGCATTTGCATTGAGATCTTAACACATCCTAGGCTTCTCTTCCTTGATGAACCCACTAGTGGACTTGATAGTGCAGCTTCTTATTATGTTATGAGGAGAATATCCAGCTTAAACAAAAAGGATGGAATGCCAATGACTATTATTGCATCAATCCATCAGCCAAGTAATGAAATTTTTCAAATTTTCCACAACCTTTGTCTTCTGTCTTCTGGGAAAACAGTTTACTTTGGACCTGTCTCCTCTGCAAATAAGGTTTGAAACTACAACCAGTGTTTGTGTGTGTCCACACCACACATCAATTTGTTTTTCAGAACCAATGAGCGATTTTCTTTTGCTTTTGGTTGCAGTTTTTCTCATCAAATGGTTTTCCCTGCCCAAGTCTCCAGAGTCCTTCTGATCACTTCTTAAAAACCATCAACAAGGATTTTGAACTGGTTAGTAGAATTTGTATTGTTCTTGTTTTCTTCCTTAGCTCATTTCTACCGGATACTGGACTTAATTACTTGTTACTCACACTTGCATTTTCCAACACTTTCTCTTATCTCTAGTGAAATTTACTTCAATTTTCAGTAGGCTAGATACTAATAAATGTAACTGATTCACCTCATTATTTGCAGGACCCTGAGAAAGAATTGGCCGGAGGTCTAAGCACAGAAGAAGCAATTCATATTCTTGTTAAATCATATGATTCATCTGAATTCAGTCACCAAGTTCTGAAAGAAGTTGCTCAAATAAGAAAAAGGGTGAGTCTAGTTATTCCTTTAAAAGGGGGAATGAGAGCAAAATGGAGGGAAAAGCTTACTAAAACCTTAAAGCTTTACTTTCATTTCTCCGTTTCCATTCTTTCTCCCTTCTCCTAAATAAGCCCTTACTACTAAAGATCATAACATGGACATCAAAAATATGAAGGAAGGAAGCAATTTACAGTGCAAGAGAAGTCTGTGTTGTTGGAGGAGGATATTTGAGAAAAGTAAAGGTTATAGAAAGACATGGAAGAAGAGAACACTTTTATTACTACACAATTCTTTTTCTTTTTTGGCTTGTTACAAGACGATGGAGATGACCCCTATTTATACTAGTGGCACCTCTTTAAAATAATAACTCCAAATAATTCTAGAGTTTTCTATACTAGCCTAGTACAAATATTAATTATGGTAGGTGCTACTACCCTTATTAATAATGGTACGTACAACTACCCTCATTAATAATGGTAGGTGCAACTACCTTCTAGATCTTTCATGAAATTGACTAGAATAGATATTTTTAGATCTTGGGCTTGGGCTAAACTAACTTTTAAAGTATAATTCTAGATGTTGGGCTAAATGTATACTAAGACCAATGGACCAAAAACTAAATCAAGTTTATTTATTCAACACCCCCCTTAAACTTGATTTTGTAACTCCAAGCAATTTTCTCATCTTGACAAAGTCTTCATTCTTGAGTGGCTTAGTGAAGATATCTGTTGCTTGTTCTTGAGACTTCACATATTTTATATGCACCTCATTTCTTGCAATGCATTCCCTTATAAAATGATAGCGTGTGTCAATGTGCTTACTTCTATCATGGAAGACTGGATTCTTTGCTAATGCAATGGCAGATTTGTTGTCAACATAAATATTGGTTGGCTCCTCTTGTTGCATATTCAACTCCTTTAGCAAGTTCCTTAGCCAAATGGCGTGGCAAACACACGATGTAGCTGCGACATATTCGGCTTCACAAGTATATAGGGTGACAATAGGTTGTTTCTTTGACATCCATATGAAAGTAGTATCTCCCATGAAGAACACAAATCTAGTGGTGCTTTTTCTATCATCCATGTCTCCAGCCCAATCGCTATCACTATATCCAACAAGTTTATATTCATTAGCGGATGAGTAAAACAAGCCAAGGTCGATAGTACTTTTAATGTAGCGGAGGATTCTCTTTGCAGCCTTCAAGTGCGTGGTAGTTAGAGTCTCCATGTAGCGACTAACGAATCCAACAGCAAAGAGGATGTCAGGTCGGGTGCATGTCAAGTAGCGTAAACTTCCAACTAAGCTTTTGAAGAAAGTAGGATCAACATCTTCTCCTTCACCATACTTGGATAACTTAACTCCACATTCCATTGGGGTGTTGATAGACTTGCAATCGCCCATCTTGAATTTCTTCAGTATCTCCCTTGAGTAAACTTCTTGAGTGATGAAAAAACCTTCTTCTTTGTGCTTGATTTCAATGCCGAGATAGTATGCCATTTGTCCAATGTCAGTCATCTCAAACTCTTCAAACATCCTTGGATTGTTTCCGGAGAAGACTAGATCATCCACGTACAAGCACACGATCAAAATATCTCCATCTTTGAGCTTGACATAAAGTGCATGCTCGTAAGGGCATTTGATGAAACCATTCTCTTGGAAGTACTTGTCGATTCGACTATTCCAAGCTCTTGGTGTTTGTTTTAGCCCATAAAGTGCCTTCTATCTTCATGTCTTTTGATTTCGTACCCTGCTGGTTGCTCGATGTACACTTCTTCTTCAAGTACTCCATTCAAAAATGCTGACTTTACATCCATTTGGTGTATGCTCCACTTGTTTTGAGCTGCCAAAGAAATAATTAGTCTAATAGTTTCTAAGCGAGCAACAGGAGCAAATACCTCATCATAATCGATTCCTGCTCGTTGAGTATAGCCTTTTGCCACCAATCGCGCCTTGTATCGTTCAACTTCTCCCTTGGCATTCCTTTTAGCTTTGTAGTCCCATTTCACACCAATTGCCTTGTGCCTTTTTGGAAGTGAGGCTAGGTCACATGTTTTGTTCTTCTCAATCGCATTGATTTCTTCATCCATAGCATTTCTCCATTTCTTGCTTTGAACAGAGTGAGAATATCTTGATTCTCCGTTACCTCGTAAATTTCTTGCAGGCTTTTGAAGCGTGGTACTCATTCACTTGAACTTTTAGATGACGATGGTTGTTCTTGAGGACTTGCTGCTGGTGAAGTTGGTGGAGTAGTTTCCTCTGATTCCATCCTTGGTTGCACATTCTCTTCTTCCTCCATAAAGTAGGAAAGGAAGTTGTAGTCTTCATCACATAGACCCCAATTCCATTCTTCTTCTTCGTTCAACTCCACATCTCGACTAATGGTAGTCTTTCCATTGTTCGGATTGTAAATTTTATAGCCTTTAGAGTTAGAATCATACCCGATGAAGATAAGCTTCTCACTTTTGTCATCAAGCTTGGACCTCTTCTCATCATGAATATGTGCATAGACTATGCTTCCAAACACTTTCAGGTGGGAGATCCCAGGCTTTCTTCCACTCCAAGCTTCTTGTGGCGTCTTACCCCACACACTTCTTGTTGGTGAACGGTTTAAAAGATAGACGGAAGTTGCCACGGCTTCAGCCCAAAACTCTTTTGGCATCTTCTTGCTCTTAAGCATACTCCTTGCCATGTTGAGAATGGTTCTATTCTTTCTTTCAGCTATTCCATTCTGCTGTGGGCTTCTAGGAACGGTTAAAGGTTGTCGGATTCCATTATGATCACAAAATTCTTGGAATTCTTTGGAAGTGAACTCTCCACCTCTATCTGATCTCATGGTTTTGATTTCGCATCCACTTTCTTTCTCCACACTAGCCTTGAACTTCTTGAAGACTCTAAACACCTCTGATTTTTTGCTTTAGGAAATACACCCATGTCTTTCTTGAGAAATCATCTATGAAGAGAAGAAAGTAATTACTCTTACCGAGTGAGCTTGGCTTCAATGGTCCACAAACATCTGTATGTATGAGCTCGAGCGGCTTGTTGGCTCTTGACAAAGACTCCTTTAGAAAGCTCTTTCGACATTGCTTCCCAAGTAAACATCCTTCACATAGCTAGTCAGGTTGAGTGATGGAAGGCAATCCTCTCACCATCTCCTTCTTGTATAGCAACTCAAGACCACCAAAGTTGAGGTGTTCGAATCGTAGATGCCACAACCAAGATGCATCCTTGTAGCAGGATTTGAGACACTTTGCAATGTCGTGTTAAATGTTCAACAGAAACATTCTATTTCTTGACATAGGCACCTTAGCAATCAGGTTATTTTGATTATTTCTTAAAGAAAGAGTATTGTTTTTTAAGTGAACATCATACCTTTTTCTCTAAGAGTTGCCCCAGACTCAAAATATTATTCTTCATGTTGGGTACATAGTACATATTAGAAATGAATTCATGCCTCCCGTCTTTTAATCGGATAAAAATCTTACTTTTTCCTTTCACCGGTGTCTTTGATTCATCTCCAAAGGAGACATTTCCATTCACCGATTCGTTAAGTTCCACGAACATGTTACTTTTTCCACACATGTGATTGCTTGCCCCTGAGACTAGATACCATGTATTCTCTTGTTCTCCTACATTGTCATTGCGTACCATCAACAGAGTGCCATCTTCTTGACTCCTTTCCTCCACATATTTTGCCTTCTCCTCAATTTTTCTTGTAGGAGTTCTACATTCATCAGCATAATGGCCGAACCTTTGACAGCTGTAGCATTTGATTTGGGACTTGTCACGTCTTGGTTGCGAGCCACCTCTTCTACGACCTCTTGTTGAGCTCTCTCTTCGATCTTCATTGGCATAGTTGTTGTTGAAGCCTACTCTTCCACGTCCACGACCTCTTCCTCGACCACGATATCCTCCTTGTCCTCTTCTGTTGCCAAAGTCTTCTTCCTTTTCTTTGAAGTTGAGTTGTGTCTTAAGTAATTGTTCACCAACCCCTTGCTTCTTCTTTTGCTTCTCCTCATATGCTTGTAAGGAGCCTAAGAGTTGCTCTATTGTTATGGCTTCCAAATCTCTTGTTTCTTTTATGACAGTGACAATATGATCGAATTTTGCGAATCTCCATAATTTTTACATCATCTATCTTTTCACAATTTCTTTTTAATTGATTAGTCACCGTCAAGACTCTAGAAAAATAATCGGAGATACTTTCGGCATCTTTCATGTGTAAAGTTTCAAACTCACTTCTTAGAGTTTGAGGACGTACCTTCTTGACTGGCTCAACGCCCTTGTAAGAGGTTTGTAGCTTCTCCCATGCTTCCTTTGTGGTGGGTACCTCCGAAATCTTCTCAAAAGCATCTTCATCCAATGATGAGATATGGAGCTTTCTTCTCTCTTTCTTGAATCCTTCAAGCTATCCCTTTGAGCTTGGGATAGAGTAACTCCTTCTTGTGGCTTATTGTAGCCTTTCTCTACCACTTTTCACACATCTTGTGATTTAAGGAGGCCCTTCATCTTGATACTCCAATTATCATAGTTGCTCTTGGTGAGCATAGGGACTTGGAAAGGAACCATGTTGCTACTTGCCATTTCTCTACAAAGGATGCTCTGATACCACTTTGTTGGGAGGAGGATATTTGAGAAAAGTAAAGGTTATAGAAAGATATGGAGGAAGAGAACACTTTTATTACTACACAACTCCTTTTCTTTTTTGGCTTGTTACAAAACGATGGAGATAACCCCTATTTATTTATACTAGTGGCACCTCCTCAAAACAACGACTCCAAATAATTCTAGAGTTTTATATACTAGCCTAGTACAAATATTAATTGTGGTAGGTGTAACTACCCTCATTAATAATGATAGGTGCAACTACCCTCTAGATCTTTCATGGAATTGACTAGAATAGAAATTTCTAGATCTTGGGCTAAACTAACTCCTAGGGGGCGTTTGGTACAAGAGAAAAAAAAATTTACTGAGAAAATAATTTTGCCGGAATGTGGTGAGAAATATTTTTTTCTGGATAAGTTTCAAAAATATGTTTGGTTAACCAAAATTTGTCCCGAGAATATTTGATTAAGTTTATGAGTTGATGTTTGGTTGATTGTGAAATAGGAGTAGAAATGTGGGGTTATTTTACAAAAATAACCCCACCTTTATTTTTTCATTCAAAATTAGTACACAAAAATGTAGGGTTAATTTGGTCCATATTATTTTATACTTTTTACTTTCCCAGGCAACAAACTACACCAACTAATCTATGGACTTTCTAACAAGCCAACCGTACAAGAATTTGCACATAACAACAAAATCCAGGCAAACTTTTTAGCAGGGGAAAGATTTGCAATTATTGGTACCAAACATGACATTTTAATTCTCCCAACCAAGCTTTTCAAGGAATTCAAAAATATTTTGGGTACCAAACACTCCTCTAAAGTATAATTCTAGATGTTGAGCTAAATGTATACTAAGTTCAATGGACCAAAAATTAAATCAAGTTTATTTATTCAACTGTGTTGTTTTAAAAGAAACTTAAATTAATGTGAATATGCAATCCAAAAATAAAAATTATGTGATCTTGGATCACTAAATTTTTTTGATGAACAAATGGATGCAGGACTCGTACACAATGGAGAAGAAACATCATGCTGACTTTGTTACACAGTGCCTCATTCTTACAAGAAGATCTTTTGTGAATATGTATCGTGAAGTAGGCTATTACTGGTTACGCCTACTTATCTATGGTGCCTTGGCTTTAAGTCTCGGTACCATGTTCTTTGACATTGGTTCAAGCAGTGAATCAATTCAGGTAAGACATGGAGTGCGAGGCAGTGGATGAGTTATAATACACGAACAATAAGCTACTTTAGCTGATTTTAAAGCCTAATTTTGATTATTGCAGGCTAGAGGTTCACTGCTTGTGTTTGTTGTTACATTCCTGACCTTCATAAATGTTGCTGGGTTCCCTTCTTTTGTGGAGGATATGAAGGTAAAGTAGTTTCTCTGCAAGGATTTTGTCACATGGCATTCTCCTTTTATCCCCGTATGAGTAGAAACTGAGTTCAATATAATCTTAGCTTTTTAGACACATAAAAGCCCTCTCTTGTGATTCAGATGCTTGGTCAATAATATGTCACATTCCTGAGTCTTTTAGTGATGTTTCTCTTTGATCTTTAACCAGGTGTTTGAACGAGAAAGACTAAATGGACATTATGGTGTCACTGCATTTACCATTGGCAATACGTTATCTGCTATTCCATTCTTGCTGTTGATGTCATTGATCCCAGGAGCATTGGTTTACTACCTAGTCGGACTTCAAAAAGGACATGAACATTTTTTGTACTTTATATCAGTGCTTTTTATTTCTCTCTTGTTGGTTGAGGGTCTCATGATGATTATTGCAAGTATGATTCCCAATTTCCTGATGGGCATTATCTTTGGTTCTGGAATCTTGGGAGTAATGATGTTAGATGGTGGGTTCTATAGGCTGCCAAGTGATATTCCAAAGCCCTTTTGGAAATACCCTTTGCGCTACATTTCCTTCCACAAGTATGCCTACCAAGGATTGTTCAAGAATGAGTTTCAAGGTCTAACATTCACTGGCAATCAAATTGGAGGACCTATGACAATTAGTGGTGAAGATATACTAAGACATGTATGGCAAGTGGAAATGAATTACTCAAAGTGGGTGGATGTTGCTATGTTGGTAGGAATGGCATTAATATATCGAATTCTGTTTTTGGTTATCATCAAGAGCATTGAGAAGGTGAAGCCATTGTTGCAGCAATTAATTGTCCCCAAGCAAACTGTAGGTTCACTACAGCGACAAGGAGCAATTAGATTGATTAGCTTGTAATCCAAGCCAGAGTGATCATGGCTGAGATATACCATAAGCGCTGCAGAAACATGGTGTGGCAATAACATGTTATGTACTAGGCATATAAGCATTACCAAGGAATCTGAATTTTACAAGATAATGGAATTCTATGAACTAAACTGATAATATACATGAGAATTGTTTATAATTGTTTGTGAAGCAAGTACTGGCAAAGAAAGTTTATTCATGTATGATGGAACCCAGGAAAATACAACATTGAATTCATTAATAATGGAGGCATAGCCTCTTTTTACATACACTAATACCAAGATAAAATGCAGAAAATAAATCCCAAGAGACCTTAACTCCCAAAGACCCCCAAATTTTCTCACTAACCAATTATGAATACTTGCATACCCAGACTACACACACTGCCTCCTCTTTTATCCTATACTTTAGGAATATTCTAGAATAGTTTCCATAACAAACAAATTAATTCACTAATTTTTAGGCCCATGGCTAGGGGTGTAAACCTGGCCCGGCCTACATTGAGCCCAGCCCAGACCCGGCCTTTCAGAAAAGTAGAGTAGGCTTAGGCTTATAAAAAAGCTTTTTTAATAAATAGGCCATAGGCCAATTTTGTCAAGCCCAGCCTACAGCCTCGTAGGCTAGCCTATTTAATTTATTAAAATAAAATAATAAAATAATATTTATTTTATGTAGCAAAGACACAAAGTACCAAATACTAATATCTCTTGCTTTTTGTGCTATTTTATTTTATGAAAGGAAAACTTGTCTAATGTCTCCAAATTTTACATGCTGTTGCAGCTTAATACCATGGAGCAATGGGTACCTTGCTGGATTATGATGTTACTGATGAAGATCTTTCAATAATACTCTTCTTTCTCTTGTCTTGATGGTGGTTTAAAGATTTTTAGATGAATGACATTTGTAGACTTTATTTCAGCATCCAGTAATTGTATTTTTCTTATTTTTTCCATTTCTTCGACTCTATTTCTCTATGATATAGATTCTAGAGCTGAGGTATTATGTTGACTCTTTCTTGTTTGTCATTTTTTTCTTATGAGAAGTACTAGTGCATGCATGAATGGAACTTTCTTTGCTCTATACAATTATTTTTTTTGCTTAGTATATATAGTGGGAGGCTTATAAGGCCTGTAGGCCATGTTAGGCTTTCTTATTTTTGAAAATGGGCCGAGCTTGGCCTACAAATAAAGCCTTTAATAGGCCAGATAGGCTGAATTTTTTTTGACGTAGGCTTGGGCCAGGATGGCCAAAGCCCAGCCCAGCCCATTTACACCCCTACCCATGGCCCATCAATACGCTCCCTTTAAAATTCACCTTGTCCTCAAGGTGGAGAAGAGGACAGGTCGTGTGAGAGCTTCCACCTGGGTCCCATTGTTTGAAGCACAGCCCATGACATGATCTGTCTTGCAATTCCACTTGAGATAATTGTCGAATTCTTGCGCGATTGTCATTGCTAGTTGCACTCTCAACTGGTCAAACTTTTGTATAGCTAGAACTTGCTGCGGTAGGGTTTGATTTGGCTCCAATCTGATTTCTCAATGAATCTTGTCTAAAAGTTTAGGGAATATTACTAATTTGGCCATTACTTCCAGCTAGCCCAATTGAAAACCCATTATTTTCATTTTCTCCTAACCCCTTTGTTTTGCTCTGGCCTATTTTGCATGGCCTGTTGCATTCTGAATTATAATCCAGGATAGGCTGTGTCTTAAAATGAATTATGGCCCTGTTTGACAAAGCCATCAGGGGTGATATCCAATTCCAACCCCAGATCTGTAAGTGTTACCTTGACCCATTGAAATATTGGGCCGATGTGTTAAATTCGCAGTGGGCCTGAGTCTACTTAGCAAATACATAGTGGTTTCAGTGAATTGGGTCTTGTTGGGTAAGGTAACCCGCGTACATTGACCCGAACCCATTCCACACTTTTCCAGCCCCAAGTTGTGTTCCTCCATCCCTTGCGTCCATCTCGTCACCTTCCCCAACTTTGCCACCACATGGAAGTGCACTTCTACCTCAACATCATCTTTTTCCTCGTGATTTTGTTCAACGTGTTTCGCTCCGCTTCCTTCTTTTTCTTCTTTTATTTTTTCTTCGATTTGTTCTTCTTTTCCTTCTATGCTTCCTTTGTTTCCTTCTTTTCATGTTGCATTTTCCACTTCGATATTTTCCTCTTCTTCTTCAATTTCTTTTTCTTTTTTCTCTGCTTCTTCGATTCTCTATTCGAGTTTTTCTTCTTCTGCATCATCTTCTTCTTGTTGTTCTTCGTCAGCCTCTACCTATTTTTTGTACGTCACTGTTTCCTTATCTTCTCTGTTGATTTATTTTTTTGCTTCACGATCTAATTCTTCATCTTCGCGTCGTTCTTCTTCGTCTACCACATAAATCTCCCGTAAATATTTAATTATAAATGCTTTGGTAAAATTCCATAATTTTGCATTAGAATTGTTAAGATTCTAAAGCCTAGACCAGTAGAACGAACATCTTTTAAGCCCCCTCAAGGTTTCTGCCAATTGTTCATCTTCTTCATTTATTTGTTTTTCTTGAAAATATTGTTCCATAGCAATTTGCCATCCCCAAGCGCCGTCTCCTTCTCTATAAAATGTTGGAACAACTATATCAATAGAGTTTTTTTTTTTTAGGATCTGGATCAGATCTTGGAATTTTTTTTATCAGATCTAGATCAGAAACACCCCCAAGATCGGACGTGCTCTGATACCAAATTGATGGAACCCAACAAAATACAACATAGAATTCATTAATAATGGAGGTATAGCCTCTTTTTACATGCACTAATACCAAGATAAAATGCAGAAAAATAAACCTGTAACATCCTCGTCTCGAGCCGGTTCAGTTAATACACATATAATACTAAACAGAAACAGGAGAAGACTTAACTTACAAAAATGCGAGCTAACTTTTTCTTTTTCTTTTATCCTTTTCACATGATACATATATTGCTTACATCATCTAGTTTTCTTTTCATTTGACGGAGACGAAAATTGGACAATGTAACGTCTGTAAATCGGACAAATGGCTATTTAAGAATCTCACTCTCAAAGTATCCTGATAAACAGTTTATACCATTTATGATTCCAGAAATACCAAATATCCATCAAGGATCATATACCCATTCATGGGCGCATGTATAATTGGCTCTGTGCCACTAAGTCTAGTAGTATGCATAACCAGCACGTAAACATATAACTGAATACTACATCATAATATAGACATGCTTGAATACACAAAATGTACATGCATCAAAGCGAAAAACATGTACAAAACATATACAGGCTATATACAAAGTAACAGATCAGACATCATGATCTTCAAAACAAATGCAATACTAATGCGAAATAATAATCCTCCAAAATAATAGTAGCATACTGTTACCCAAAATCCGGTCCGCGATGCACTCTATCCACGGGTCGTATCCCTGCCCCGTGTAGGCTCACTGACAATCTGTACACCTGAAATGATGTCCCCAAACGGGATGAGATAACAAATCTCAATAAGCTCCAGGTTTATATAGAATTATCCATACCCTGGGCCCATTCCTGCATGAAATTTAGAAGTATCATATAAACAAATATCATAACTGAGCAAATCATATATACATATCTTATCAGAGGCGTACATGATAAGTGTCAAAGACACTATGTTTTTAATATCAAATATAGTTCAGATAATAACTAATATGATTAAAAATATAGTGTTAGTTAATAAAATCTAAAAGATATTAAAATACCAACAACTGGATAAGATTCTAATCCTTTTTCATATTGTTTCAGGTTTAAAGTAACAAATCACCAATTCTAAGGGATAAAAGAAGTTGCAAAGGATAAAGATCAAGAAAAATAAAGAATTAATCAATATTAATTCTTGTTCAGCGAGCTGATCCAAATATTAAAAAGCCCACTTTAACTCTTTATATAGAACGCAATTAAAAGCTGTAAAGGAAATTCGAAAGACGGAGGACAGTAGACCTCATGATGGCTGCGACTTAGGAAAGGGAAAAGCTCCGTTCTAGACCTGAGGAGCGGAGAAACGGTCAACGCTTCACCGTGGAGACCGGGTTTTATATTTCTTTTATGAATTTTAGTTCTTTTCATCTCTTTCTTTAGTAATCTTGAATATGTTAGGCTAGTTCTTTACCAATTGGTTCTTAATTGATGTTTACCTTTCTTATGATGCACATTCTTGTTTTTAAATTATGCAATCAATTTGATATTTATGATTAGTTTTATTTATGACTTGATCACTCGTAGATAAACATATGAGTTGTGCATGACAATAGGGATGTTGGTGTATGATTCTGATTGGTTGATTGCTGAAATTTGTATGATCTAGGGATAGACTTATAAATTCTGTAACCATAGGTTCTTGCGTAATGCTTATTTAATGAAAAAGTACTAAGGGATTAGGCTTTGGATTAGAATAAAGGATTAGATTACCAAGAGATTGGGATTTAATCAATCATAGAAAGAACTGTTAATAATTTGATCATGAATGTAATCGTAAGAATATGCAAACTCGTTAAGAAACCATTGGGGAAGTTGAATCCTAGATACTCCTTTTTATTAAAAACTTAAATACAATTTTTAGATTTATTAATTCTGAATTTATTTTCTAAAAATATTAAAAACTAAAAATAAGTTTACAAATTCTGTTTTTAATTTAATTAAAATATTCTCAAGAAACTCCTTTTACGATCGGTCCAACTTTAGTTGAATAGATAAATTAGTGCTTGGTCATTAGTCCACGTGGGATCGACAACTTATCTTATCGCTTTATAACTTGTACGACCGGTGCACTTGCCGAGTTCGCAACAAGTTTTTGGCGTCGTTGCCGGAGACTGATTTAATCAACATTAATCATATCTATAAAATTATAGATTGGATCATTTTTTTATTTTTTATTATTATTTTTTAATTTATTTATTTTATTTTATTTTTTATTTTTTTATTTTCATTTTAATTTTATTTTTGTTTCTC